AATCATTTCTGAGGATCTGGAACATACCGACCGCGATCTCTCTCTCTCTCTCTCTCTCTCTCTCTCTCTCTCTCTCTCTCTCTCTCTCTCCCCTCTCTCTTCCTCTCTCTCCCCCCTCTTTTCTCCCTCTTCTCTCGTCACCTTCTGTCTCTCTTCCACCCACGGGCGATGATTTCGTGATTCCATTTAACGAATTTATCAGCGTTCGTATATTCCCCGACTGAACTCGTCATGGTATTAATTGTACGCGCTTTCACGGCCGCGGCGAATCGCGGACGCCGCGTCGTAACGAACGATTCCACACGCATCCATACAAACGCCACAGAGGCGCATGCCTTCTCCGCGTAAAAATGAAAGCATAGCGGCATCGTGCCTGCATGGCACCGTAATCCGGAATCAATCCTTCTGAATGGATTACGAAGGGAAAGAAGAAACACTGGCGCGAGCGTGAATTGTAACGAATTCAGATTGGCGTCGAACTTCTTTTGAGGGACTCTGTCTTGTTTTAGCTGTTAGGGAATCCGTAGAAGAGGCAACACCGGAATTTAATCTCACTATGCGCAACTTCCGCCACGCAGCCAATTTTTTAAGCATCAAACGTTCAAAATTCTTTTCTTCAGACCAAACAATCCCGGAGATTCGTGATGAACAACGAATTTTTAATGGCAATTTTTAATGGAAACGAAAAGATCTCTATAAAAAATTGGCACGTTGAAAATCAAATCGCGATCCTAGTGAAAATAGAAAATAAACCAATAGCAGTTCTTGCATAACGGAAGCATCGGCTTAAATGCTTAATCGTCCCCGTATTGCGAAAGATATGCGAGATTTATACTGGGTTCGATATCCGATGTACGACGTCCGATATGATTGACTACGTTCAGCAGAAAAAGCTGCTTTGCAACTGTTGTGAAATTCGTGAATCTGACCTATGTTCTTAAATTCACTCAACATTAAAAGAATACGTCAATCAGATTCACGAATTTCACAGCAGTTGCAGAGCAGCTTTTTCTGCTTTTTCTGAACGCAGCCATTGGTTCTCGTTTGGTTCCACGTTGGATCTAAAAGTATAAATTAAAGCCAACGGCACACGGTACTATTTTTCCTACTGGATTGCTTACGAGAGTCAATCAGGATGCAGAGTTTTAGATCAGGTGACTTAAAGCTAAACGCTGATTGGCTCTCGTAGGCAATCCAGTAGGAAAAACAGTATCGTGTGCCGTTGGCAGATTAATTTCCTTTGCATCCAATCGCTAGAAATATCCAAAGCTCTCATTGGAGAGAAATCATTGATTATTTTTGAAATTCCGAAAGTATACCTTGCGGAGTGGGCAATTATGCGCCCGGGCCGTTGACCTGTTCGACGATGTCGTATCCCGGTGGAGGCTAAATCGTTCGTCGGACGTTAAGATCGATCACGGTAACATGCCGGCTTACGTGAGCGATGAGGCCAGACAATTTGCGGCTGGCGCGGCGTGGCCGACGCCTTTGCCGCTTTTACACTTATTTTCGGGGACCAACTGCGCTAAGAATATACTCGCCGCCTGTCGCATTACGCAGAATTTATCAATGCATGATGAGCGTTCACTTACCACCGTAAAGCACTCGATAAGTCGTGTCTCATCGTGCATTTCGTGGATGTTTTCTAATCTTACTGCTAGCTTCCCGCCCGTTGTCAAACGCTCATTTCGTTATTCCGTGTTGGCTGTTTGTTATTAAGCCCGTATCAGACTATGGATTGAGATTAAGATTAGAGATTTGATCCGATAAGGAGATAAAGATAGAGATTTAATCAATCAGAATAAATTTCAGTGAACTTAAGGTTAATAAACTTTCTTTTAATTGGTCAAATTTGGAGAATCTTTCGTCATAAGATGAGCCAAAAGTCATTGCCTCGGGGGAAATTAATAACCTACTCCGTTTACATATACAGAGTGTTCAAAAAGTCTGGCAACGGCTAAGTATCTCGAAAATTAAGCATTTTAAGAGAAAAATGTTTTAGACAAAAGTTATATGGTTTACGCAGAGTATATATTTTTCTAGATAAATTCCTCGATTTCTCCTTTGATCTTATCTCTCTCATGCAGTGACCTTTGGCTTCATCCCGAACTCGGCGATTATCCGTTCACGTTGGCGCCGGATTAATTAATTCAGCGAGGATTCACTCCCAGCCAGGAATAACTTTCTGCTCTATTTACATTCATCTCCCTTTCTCATTTGCATCTCTCCTTTATTTTTATTCTTCCTACCCCAACGTACACCTGGTTTCGGTTCCTGGTTTTAATGAACCCGGCGTATGTACAAAGTCCGGCGCGATTTGCGCGCGTTTCCCCGTATCCTTGGCGAAGTTACAGTGTAACTAGTAGGCCCACTCTCTGTCGGCTCCTTTGATCATTGCGGTCCCGATCACGTGGTAATCCGCCATTATTTTGGGCAGCAATCCAGGCATATGTGTGTGTACGTACTGTAGTTGCATGCGGTAGTGTATCGAAGCTGCACTACCATACGTGCAACTTTTTTCTCATTAGTCTACCGAGAACAATATCGGATGCGCCGAAGGGATCGACGCAAAATAAAACAAATGACGGAGTGGGCCTACTAGTTATATACCACCTGCGCATCCGCCATTATTTTGATGTGGACAATGAGACGAATGTTGCATATGTGGTAGTGTGGCAGTGTGAAAGGACATCACACACCAAAGTAATGGCGAAATACCACGTGGTCGAAATCGAAAAGATCAAAGGGCCGACAGAGAGTGGGGATACTAGTTATTCTATGGCTATACTATGGCGAAGGGCTCGATAAAGGCCTTCACACATAAAATTCCGTAAGGACGTAAAACGTAAGCGTAAGAAAATCAACAGATTGGATTTGCTACTGCTTGCGTTATTGCCTTACGTTCTCGACCGTGATTGGTCGATTTTCTTATGCTTACGTTTTACCTTACGTTTTACCCTTACGGAATTTTATGTGTGAAGGCCTTAACAGTTGACAACCGCGGCGGAACCGCATCGCAACGGACGTGTTTTTCAGCGACGTTGCCGGCCTATTTTCCAGATCCCTTCTTCGCGATCAGCGAGACCGAACGGATCAGAATAATCAAATAGCGATCGGCAAACTCGATATTACGCTTCTCGTTACGTATTTCGCCGTATTCGACCACGTTGTTTGCGCGCAAAGTGCGTACCGTTACGTTTCGTTTGATGGAAAAGTGCATTGCCCGGCAAGTTTCGAGAAGCATTATTCCAAGTGAAGCGCATTGTATGTACGTGGTGATGATATTTTGTTGATGAAAGTTTTCTGAGAGATTCTACAGTGGAGATTCGTTGTCGTTAACGAAACCGCGATCGAAGGGTACGAATCGAGAAGTCTCTTCAATTCGATTCTGCCGCGCTTCGTCTCTCCTCCTCCATAGGTTCTAAATATACATCTATTTTCTTTTTATTATGCAAAAAGTACGACGGAGAGCAGTTAAAGTAGACAGATTTAGACCGCGCGCGACAGTTGTCGGTGGACAAAATGCAACTGTGTCGCGATGCGCGAAAGTGCACTCGTTATATAAAGCTGGATTATTGAAACACATCCGGCCAGCCACGGATATTGTTGGCGCGTTTACTCCGTTTTTAATTCTTTCATCGCGAACGATTCTTGCCAATGCATATCCAAGCTTTGCTACGAATTTTGCGCGATCGCATTGAAGAAACGAAATGAGCGTTAACAGTAAAGTTGTAAAAGGAGAGAAATATATAAATTTATAATCTAACTAAATAAACAAAAGGGCCAATGACAAGCTATAGGAGGTGATAAAACTTGTGTTGAAGAAGTCATTTAAAAGAAAGTCTTTTTTACATTTTTCCTCTCTATGTGCTGAAGACTTTGTAACAGTCAAAACGTTCGTTTCTTTTAAATGATTTCTCAAGTACAAGTTTCTCATTTTATCATCTTGCATAGCTCGTCATTATTGACCTTTTTGTTCATTTATTTGTGTTCACACTGAGAGAACGAGTATATCTTTTCTTTATTAATTTATAATCTAATTTGTAGTTTCCTACGATTCTTTTTAATGATTTAAGTTAGTCGAATGTTGCTGACACGCGCCATGAAGTTTCATTTTCTAATAACAAGTTATTTTTTATTCGCATAATAATATAATACTGCGTTTTCAAAGCGTAAGAAGTCAACAGAGACAAACTGAGCGCTTAAAAGGCGATCTAATAATAAGTGAGTTTCAAGGAGTTTGAATTAGGCCAACGCCTCACTAATGTAAGACAATGCGAAAGATCAGAGAAAGCCGATACTATGGTATTCATAGTCCGTTCTTATATTTAAGATCATCATAAGTATATTCTTAATGTGTTTTTAATCAATCACAGAGCCGTATTAGCCTCTTAAAGACAACACTGGGATTATTTTGAAATAAAGAATCGACTATGAATACCGGCCTTTGAACTATCGAGATTTTTATGTTTTAAGACTATTATTTTTATTCAATTTCTATTTTTATGTTTTCATAATTATTAATATTGTTAAAATTATTAGTAATTATTAATGTAATTATATGTCAATGACAAACAGAAAATTATAGAGTAGCGATTAGTTTTTCTCTTTCACGAAATTATGGTTTAAATGTCGCGATTATTCTTCTTACAATTAGTGGCGCTTTCTATGCTCTCTTGCAATTTTTCCTTCTCTCTAAACGTTCAACCTATCTCATTTAACATGTAGAAAGTGGCAAGAAAGTGCAGCGCCGAGATTAAATCTAGGATTTACGAACACATTTAACGTCTGCTAAAAGTGCACCGCGATTTTCCAAAAATCTTCGAAAAGCGGCGTTATTCAAGTCGTTGAATGAAAATTAAGCCTTACAATTTTGATCTAGGTATTCTAGGTGTCGACCGGATTTTCGGCGAGACCTTTCTGTGTCGCATAACACGCACACACACACACACACACACATACGTATATGCGGTATATGCTCCGTTTTCGGAGATAGTTACCTTACAGGTGTCTGTGATAGTCACGAGGGTCACGGTGAGGCCGCATAGTACGTATCTCCGAACACGAGGACGCGAAACATGCCTCTCTATCACCCAGGCAAACAATGCGATACACGAACGTCAATCGATGCACGAAAATCGCGATTCGTCCGTCCACGACAGGCAGAAACATCAAATGTTGAGCCTATCTCGCGAGGAGGTGAGAAAAGGAAAAGAGAAACGGATGAAAAGAGACGAGATAACGCGACGACGAAAGGAACGCCGAGTAAAACACCCGTCTCGCGACGCTACCGCCCGAAAACTCGTGTTGCGCGTTGCGCGCTTGTGATGCAGCCGTCAGGCCGCCACGGTTTACCCCCACCACCGTTGCTGTTGCCGCCGCTGCTGCCGCCGCGGTTGCCGCCGCCGCGGTTGCCGCCGCCGCCGTTGCCGCCGCCGCCGTTGCTGCCGTTGCCGCCGCCGCCACCGTACGGAAAGTTAATCGCCGCGAAGAAGAAATCCTTCATGTACGTATTCGATTCGACCTTCAGAGTCGTATCACTGGCCTGTGCATGCGCTCTGGCATCAGGTTGAAATTTTTAATAAAGGCACTGCTGTGAACTAGAGTCCTAAATAATTAGAGAAGCGCAATCCCTACCCCCTCCATGCTTCTCATGGTCGCCATGTTGGGCCCGCGGATGAAATAGTACAGCTGAAATAATACTTATGTACACACATACTAAAAGTTCCTTTCTTTGTAATGCGGTTTGTACATTTAAAAAATGTTTCCAGATTGTACCTGAAAAGGACCCGATAAAGAGGTCGAAACGTTGCGATTAAAATGAAGATCATCATTTTTGCCAGTTTAGTCGATTTTTTAAAAAATTCCTTTCAAATATTTATTAATTTTATTATTTTTTAAAGGTATATATTTTAACTTTCCTTATATTTCGCAGTATTACATCAAATTTTACAAGGAAAATTATGATGTATTTTGCGGTACATTCAGTAACTTTTCAATAACTTTTACTTTTTATCGAACTCACAATACTTTCAGCAGAATATTCATCAAGAAATTTAATACATACCACAATTGTGTTTTAAATGCATTGGACGGCATTTGCACTCTGCCATGATTGGTGGATCATTAAGATCTACAAAAATATGTTATAAGCTTCTACTTTTTGGAAAAAATTGTAAATAATAATTCTATATTGCAAAAAAATAATTTACCATTAAACTTTGAGAAGTTTCTCCAAAGTTCCTCGGTATTTAGCAATGTATTAGCGAAACTAGTGTTATTAGTCGCTTCATTAGTACTTTTTCTTTTCAGGTTTGCTTTTGTAGAACCATTGACTTCTGAAACAAAAACAATTCAGGACTAAATAACTCTTAAATGTATTTTTTGAATTTGTAAATTGTTTGCTACTGTTTTATTTTATTTATAAGGTCGTTATAAATTTTTATGATATATAATATTAGAGATACATATATTAAATACATTAATGCATATGAACCCTTTGTTAAACGTGGAGGAGTCGATAGTTCAGACAACTCGTTACCAGAGACATCAGAATTTATATCAGAAGAATATTCAGCCTTGCGACGTTTTTCTTTAGCTATTAAATAATTAAATAATTGGCTGAAACAAAATAAGCAACATGATTATGAGTCAGCAATATGCCATTTGTTTAGATATTGCTAAAAGACTACGTTAGTATATTTGTGTTATGTATTTTGAGTCACATGTGTTGCATAACATTTTTAAAGAACTGTTACGGTGATATACATATACGTAACAAAGAAATATATCTTTGTTCTGCTAATGTGCTGTCAATGTGTAATAGTTACATCTCTTCTACATAACTAAAAAATATAACATTGTTCTCTTTATATGCCCCCTAAATTATGTAACAGTTACATTATGGTTTGCTGGGGAGTATCGACATTGTATTTGAGATAATTAAAAATAATGGTCGGGCTATAAATATGGCCAGATGCAGTATGCCGCATAAAGCCGCGTCCCCACGTGAGCGTGCGGCTCGAAACAGCCGGCGGCAAAAGCTGCATTGCCGGCGCCACGATCCACCGACCGTGCCGGAAGCCGCGCGTTCGATGCCGACGGCCCGCACCTTGCTTACTGTCAGTCACGGCTCGGTCGCCATCATGGAGAGCGTCACGGAATGGCCATACGATAAGGTTTTGCAACTTATCGCGCTATTTCAACAACGGCCGTTGTTGTGGGACTCCCAATGCGAAGCCTACAAGGACCGGCAGAAACGCCACGAGGCCACGCTAGAGCTCGCGGCACATTTCAATGTTGAGAGAGATGAGATTGAACGAAAGCTGAAGAATCTCCAGAGCCACTTCTATCGCGAGGTCAAAAAGGAGGTGCAAACCAAGTCATCGGCCGGTACCGGCACGACCGGAATCTACCGCAGCAAATGGTTCGCCTATAATGCAATGAGATTCCTGGCGGAGTACAAGAGTAAACCGAGACGATCTCATATTCAGGTCGGCGGCAAGGTGCCGGCAACACGGCAAAAGACGGCGGTCCGTGTGCCAATACTAAGACACAACGATAAGAGTCGCCTCAAGAAATCTGGTAAGAAGAAAAATCTATTTAAATTGTAAATATTATATTTTCTCTTCTTAGAAATTCATTTTGCATTATGTATAATTACATAATTACACATAATTATACGTCGAATTTATTTCGTTTTTACCATGCCTCAGTTCTTACGTTTGTAAATAAAGTTGAAAACCAATATACCCTAAAAGTCCCCCTCCGTCCCTCCCAATCTATACTTATCGTTCGAAGACTTTGTTGTATACATAAATATATCGAACAGCTGATCGGGGCGCGAAACTACCCAGTCAGAATTGACTCGTCGATCTACATCGAAACGATGTATTGACATCGAAATCGTCATATTAACGTCGATTCAACATCATTTCGACATCGATCTACAAATCATTTCTCGCTGTACTAATACATATTCGTCAAATTTCCACAAAGTAGGATAAAAATATCCTAAGAAGATATGTCTAGCAGTACTTTCTGTGTCAATTTTTGTTTGCTAGTCATGTCAGTACCCAGTAAGAGAGAAATGATTAATCGAAAAGACGTTATCAAATCGATGTATTTTACGCTGATTCGATATCGAATTCTACATTTTTTCAACCATTGTTTCTCACTAAGTATATGCAGATCGTTTACAAAAAAATTAAAATCTTTGTTTTGTACTCGCTCAAGTGTGGATAAAATTATTCGTTAATTATAATATTAACCACTAATATGTAACTGTCATACGAACAATATCGTTTATTATCTCACGGACAAGCGTTCTGTCGACATCTGAGAACCGCCGCTAATAAAACTTGCTTCATTAATACCTCCATGCCTGTTCGTGCATTGCAGGATGTATTTTATTTGAATAGTTTTCTTATATTCTTGATTATATTCTATTATTTTTTCTATAGTATACGGTTTATAAGCCGTTCTTCGATACCGAAGAAAGTATTTGGCGTTCTTTCCACGTATTTTCGAATAATGTGAACTTACATCCTTAACGTCCATCTTTGGTATTCGTTTTTAACAGCCAAATGTTTTTATATAGACCCACATTTTATAATTTTTCCGCTTATAATTTATTATTTTACTGAATGATTGTGTGCGCTAAATTTGATCTGTATTTAATGTCACTGAGAAGGATCACTTTGTGTGATCAAACTGACCGTTGAACAATTATATTTTTATTTTTTATTTTGATGTATTAAACTATACATGTATATTTGACACTTAACGTCTTGTGTTGACTCCTATTGCCTGATTCGTTGTTCTTTTTTATTTTATTTTTGAATTATGTTGATTTTTTAAATATTTTATTATACTTTTTCATAAGAACAATTATATTTGTCTCTTCCTGATTTCGCAGAACACGAACCGAGAAACTCCTCTTTACGGAGATCTTCTGCAATTAAGAACGAAAATTCTGCATCCGCCGTAAACGATTTTTTATATATCGACGCAAACCAGCAAAATAACATGGATAACAGTCAAATGGAATATTGGGAAGAGAAGCCGGTCAGTACGGGTAGTCAAGATCCAATTGAATTCGCAATCGGATTACAAACGAACGAGGTCCAGCAACAGCAATCGCAGCAAGTTGTCAACTTTGAGGATAACCGGCCGAACGAAAAAGAACTCTCAACTCCTTGCAAACAAGATGCGAAGACGCTGATGTCCAAGGACACGATCGCACCTACGATCGATTTTCTCCTCGCGGAATTAAAGGCTCACGGCTCGAACGATCCGGAATTGATTTTCTATCGAAGTCTTATACCGGATATTATGAAACTCTCCGACAAAAGGCGTAGGCAGTTCAAGGAAGTAGTACTTTGCACTTTGAATAAGCTCCTGGATGAGGACGAGAGTGCCTGTACAGTGAAGACGTAAAATTGACCTTGTGAAATTCGACAGAAAAAAACATACAGTTTTTTTTACCATTTTCTCTCGATTTAGCAAATTTACATATGTACATACAAATTTATATGGTTTTATAACAATAACAATAAAAATGATACTTTAACAATTAGTGTCTTTAAATTGTAATTGCCATTTATGTTGAATTTGGATCAAACAATCAAATGCGATTTTCTCATGAGCAACTTTTTGATTCGAGAAATATTTTTAGAATTTTTTGCAATGTTGTAACGTTTCTGAAATATAGCTGGAAGTTCCTGTGCTGTATATGGGTATTATTTTTTCTTGTATAATTATTTGCAGCTTTTATCATCACTATATATAATTTCTTTGCATAATAATAGAGAAAAAATACGTATAATTACGTATATTATATTTTCCATTGTATTAAAAAATAAGTACTCTTAAATTTAAAATATTTTAGTCACCAAAACGTTCAACCTCAGTTTTTGCAGTCGAGTCTGGTTTTTCAAGTAGGTACATGCCACGTGTATTTAAACAAACCAAATCTAATAATGCAACCATAATTTGTAACTTTAATATTTTTTATATGTTGTCTTATATCTTTATCAGGCATTATTAGAAATAAATATAAATTTACTAAATGACAAATAATAACAGCTTACAAAATACGTAGAGCAATTTGGCAAACAAAAGTATTAATTGCGTGACAAATATCTTTTTATTAAATAAAAATAAGATTTGATAAAGATTTTTTGCCTGTCATCAGAATTTTGCACGCACAAGAAAAATTGGGAAGCTGAATTTTCCTTCAATCGAAGTTTCCTTTTGCAGTAACTTTTATATTTTCAATGTACTGGAACAAAAATATAAATTATATTAATTGAAATTTATTTGCTTTAATTACCTTGCCAATGTACAAGTTACAATAATCATCATGTATATTTGAAAATATAATTCTAAGGTTGTTATAGCTACAGATAAAAGAGCTTTTTCATAAGTTAAGAATAGTCTTGTCACGTACGGACAAAATCTTACAATTTATCACAAAGTTTATACCATCTGGGCCCGGAGTCCGGTGTCCCCTTTAGAATTTTATCTATAGACACCGAACTCCGGGCCCAGATGGTATAAACTTTGTAATAACCCTTCTCCCTTCTATTAAATTAAATTCCAAATGGTGGGAGGCTCCAGTAGGGGAGGTTCTCGTCATTTCGGGATATAAACGTCGTAGGCGCCAGTTCTTTTCTTTTGATTTGTTATTCAGTTAATATTCGACTCTTCAGATGACAATATTTTCAAGGTAATTAGAGAGAGACAATAATTAGAGAGAACAAGGAGTAATTAAAAATTTTATAAAAGTTTGTTCTTGTGAAGATTTTTTGGTGAAAATCTTTTGCGAATTAATCATTTAAATATCCAGCCAAATAAAATGTTTAATACGCATAAAAATTACTTACATTTTACAATATTAATTTTTTTGGACACTGCTTTAATGAATTCTATATTTGTGTGTTACAGAATCAACGTAACTAAAACTCCGCTGCTGCGCATTAGGTGGTGAGTCAGAAACTTTTTATTAAGGCAACGACTCTACATCTCGTAGAGCGTTGATTGTAGATCGTAGATCGTAGATTAGTATATCTCGTAGATCCGTTGCCTTACAATGGATAGATTACAAGCTAATTTCATATTTATTTTAATATATTGCATCTATCGAAAGGGAGTAATCGCGATTTTCACTGTGGAGGGTTGGGTGCCCCGTTGCAGCACATCACATATTTTTATGCAAAATACGCAAAATGATGAATATTATTGATGTATTCGTCGAACGAATCTCTCTTGTAGACTATCCATTTTTCATTAACAAATTTATATATAAAGTAAAATAATATGACGTGAGATTCTAATATTTTGTTAAGAACGTTGAAACTTTATATTATTTTCACACATTATTTGAGATTATTGATTAACTAGAATATTCATTTATCCGTCTATCTATCATACGGAAAGTTTCTTTTCTCTAGGTCTCACGTTACTTATTCTGTATGTGTATCTCGCGATACACTTTCAAGATGCGTCTTGCATGAATACATGCATACATCCACAGCAAGAATTTTTTTATTCAATGCTATTACACTTGAATGCATCATAAAATAGGATCGATATAGCACCAATCATGTTTATTACAGAAAAGAAATAAAGAAGGCTTTCGTCACCGAGTGAAGTTCAAGATATAGGGAATTACAATATCTATATTTGTACAAATTTGTTTAATCGTCTTGGGAAAACAGATAAATTTAGATAAAAATTCACACAGATATTGTACTTTAAGACATGTATTTTTTAATGCATATATACCATAAGCATATATTAGAAATAATTTAAAGTATAATATTCACTTTAAATTAAAATATATACTTTAAATTAAAACTAAGATAATATAATTGTAATAATGTTACGCCTGATGTTTTCATAACTTGAAATATCCAAACAACCTTAAAGAAACCTTTTAATAAACTTAGTTTAGACGTCAGCTCAGGTTTTAGACACGTGTCTTGGACATCTGAATCTTCCAGTCGTCCATCATCTCCATTAAAATCGGATTACCACCTAAACGTTCAAGATCGGTTTTCATCTTCTTCTCCAATTCCTCAAGTATACCTCTCGTGTACTTAAACGAACCAAAACTCTCTAATAATTTAACACAGTGACGTTTCATGTTAACATCCGTTGTGCGTAGTTTTACAATATCTTTCAATATTATTAAGGATAATTAAACTTAATAAATTATAAAAATTTTGTAAACAAACATATATGTATACAGGGTGACTCAGAAAGATCGCCTACTAATAACATAGCATTGTTTCTTATTAAAAACTTAGTCAAAAAGCCCTGAAACATTTTTCGCTATAATGTTTAAGTTTCTAATAAGAAATAACGCTATGTATATATATGTATATGTATATATATATGTATATATAATTAATTCTTCATATGAATCAGTACACATTTCATATTAAATACAGTTAATAAAGGATACTTAGTATTTGCTTGTCGTTAGGATTGGTTGTAATCGCATGTATAATTGGAAAACCAAATTTTCCTTCGGTCAAATCATCACAATAACTTCTATCGTTAGAGTCCTGTGATAACAATAAATAGAGATAGTTCACATTTATATTTAATTAACCCTTAAACTACACCTGGGGTCAAATTGACCGCAACAAAAGTTTGCGTTAAAATATCTGCTATATAAAATGTGAAGTTGGAACTTATGGCGCCATCTGTTGGTAGTTGAAGTCTTCCTTTTTAAGACTACACACTAGTTGTGGGTTCCAAGGGTCCCAAGGTGCTAGTAAGCTAGTTGACTAGTGACAGCCGTTCGAAGTAGACGTTTCGAGACGCTGGGGTCAATCTGACCCTATGTGTAGTATACGAATATTGGGAGGAATTTTTTATAATTTTTTTTTGTTCAATTTTACTGCATTTGAACTAGAAAAATGTAGGTATTAATTTATATACCGTGTGACTTTTTTAAATTAGTTATAACCTAAATTATAATAATTATAATAAATTTTAGATGGCGTATAATTTGCGAACTCGGAGCATACGCCAGATGCTGTATTGAAATAATGTATTCAACCTTTATTTATCATATATTTTGTAAAAAAAACATTTTACACGCAAAAGACTATCTATTTGAGACATACGCTACACACTGGGGTCAATCTGACCCCACTAGTTTAAACAATTGCTGCAATGATACTATTCATTTTTTGATGTTGTAAAAAATTAGACATGTCATATTAACATTAACAAGTAGGATAAACTTGGTTTTCCTAGCCATAAATAATGATTGCAATAATTTAAAAAATGAAAATGTGCCTTCAATTTTTCGGAAATATTACACTTTCGGTTGTCAAAGTAAATACCTTTTTTGGAATGTGCATTATTGCAATAATTTTTATCTTAAAGAACATTGTTTCAAGAGTATCCAGTTAAATTTTTAGGTTAAAATATTAAAAAATGTAAAAGTTATTGAATTTTAAGTAAAAAACGGCACTTTTTGAGCTTCTTTCTACATTTTAATTTTTTTAAATTATTGCAATCATTATTTATGGCTCGGATCAAGTTTATCCTACTTGTTAATGTTCATATAACAAGTCTAATTTTTTACAACATCAAGAAATGAATACTATCATTGCAATTGTTTAAACTAGTGGGGTCAGATTGACCCCAGTGTGTAGTGTATGTCTCAATTTGAATGTGTGTAGTTTAAGGGTTAAATTTAAAATATATTACTACTAATATATCTTACTTTATCGACATAAACGTTGCAATAATCATCATGTATTTGTCGGAACACTCCTATTGCAGTTGCCAGCGGTAGTAAGTCTTTTTCATAAGTAGAAAATAGTTTCATTAACTTAAATGTCACTTTAGGTAGCCAACCAGCCTCTATAAAATTAATTAATGTTGAAATTGTATACATATAATTACACTTTTAATATTTTTCATATGTAGTAGAAATTTGCAAAAGCAGAATTCACTTAAACATTTACTTTTTTTTATCATAACCATGTATTCTTCCTCCGTTGGACAGATGAAATTATCTTTATAATACATGTCGAGTCCTTGACCTCTATCGTATTGCGATAGTTCTTCCAACATGATTTTCATTGCCTATTCAGTTATAAAAAACATGCAAAAATACACATACATATACAGGGTGTTATGTAATACCTGTCTCACCTCTTGTTTACTGATAGAGCGGATTAGACTAACAATAAGTTAAAAAGTTCTCTACCATTTTGCAATTTTCGCAATATTTAACGAGATATTAATTATTAAAAATCGCTGTCTTATTGTTAGTCCGGCCTACCACCCAATTCAATCTCGCAGTGCGCTTGAATTAATTCCGCGTGTGAAAGAGGGATTTTGCATCGAGTTGGAATAAATTGAATTAAAAAAATATTTAGCCTACATTTTGATTTACGTTGTTATTGCACACCATGTAAAAGTCATAAATATAATTTTTTTAAGGTTTTTTTTACATACGTAACATAACTACTTACATCAGGATGCAAGTTAAGAAGTTTCATAAAACAAATTATTTGTGCATAATTTGCACAGTTTATTGTAC